CTGAGGTCACTCGGGACGGAGGGCCCACCCGGGAGCAGCACAGAAGGGAGGAGGCCGCTACGGTCACTCGGGATGGAGGGGGGCACCCAAGTGCAGAGACAGGGCCCTTCTTGCTGGGGCTTCTCCCACTGTCTTCAGATTCCTACGAGTGATGGGTAAGACTACCCCAAGGCGGCATGATCCTACTCCACCTCCAACCTAAGACCACACACTCCGTCCCTCAACAAACACACACCAGCATGAGCTGTGCTAAGTGCTGGGACATAAGGAAGGAGAAGACATTGTCCCTGCCCTCAGAGAGGTCCCTAATGCTCTGCAGCCCATGCTACCATACTTTCTACCTGTCCCACCCACAGATGACTCAATGGAGAGAGGACTCCACGTCAACAAAGAAAAATTCTGCCCTATCAGCCTTCATTGCCCACCGTCAGACTTCAGAGTTATCCAAATCAGTTTTGCTATGACCCAACCATAATCTCACGTTGCTGCAACCAAGTGAGGCCTCTTAGGAAGAGCCCTCACCAGGCCCTGATCCCTGCAGGACAACTTTTTTCTGAATCTGCATTTGCTCCCTCAGCAGAGCTGCTACTCAAGGTCAAAGCCAGTTTGGGAAGTGGCTCCTAGATGCCAAGATGAGGAAAAAGGGCATTTTCCTGGAAGCAGCTCAGGAGTCTCATAGACAAAGAGTGCATAAGACGACAGACAGGACGAAGAACTCCTGATTATAATGTGTTGGAACTTACAGCTAAAGAAGCTGTATGGTGACTGTACGTGGTTTTCAAAACTCAGAGAACTGTCCACTCATTAGGGTGGAATTTACTGTGTGTACATTACCCCTCAATTTGGGTCTTAAAAAAACCCAAAACATTGGAAAGGGCTGACATATCTTGGCTCTGGTCATTGTGTGTCAAACCACGGACCTCAGGTCAGCAACGATGATGGGTTCTGAGTCGTGACGACAGCTGACATGTACGCAGCATTTACTGAGTGCCAAATACAAGGGCTTTATATGAATTATATTGTTTACCCTGAAAAATAAAAAAGAAGCTGTATTTTACTCTGGAAAGCTTATGACATTGAACTTAATTGAGGAAATATTTGGAGTTACGGATGTGCCAAGTGCAAAGAACAATGTGTGCAAAACACTTGCCAGTGTGCAAGGAACTCTGGCACCGGAGGGGTCACTACAGAGTCTCAGACATGCCTCCTGCCCATTAGGAACGGAGTGTCCGATTGAGAATGTAAGACAGAGTGCGAAGGTCTTTTAACATCTCAAAACACCACAGGACGAGATGTCAGAATTCTGTGTTTTTTGGCCAAATCAGAGGTGGGAGCAGGGAGTTCTAAGGGAGTTCCAGGCGGAGGGTGGGAACGGGGCTGCTGGGCACCTGAGAGAACTGAATGAGTGAGGGCTTGGGGAAGGGTCCCAGGGGAGGGGGGATTTGAGTCAGACCTTGCAACAGAGGGTCAGATCTCTCTTGTCTGGGAGATTTGATGGCAACGTGGAGGCCAAGAAAGAAAGCTGGCATAATGGGCTCCTTCTAGGCTACAGCACAGACTGTTCCACAGTCCCCTTTCAAGCCTGCAGAGTGCTTTGTGGCCTCTGAAATCTGCACCCTGAATGTAAGATCCCGGGGGCCCTGCAATTAAAATGATAATCACGGCTGGTGCGGTCCATCAACCATGAGCCTTAGAAATAGCCTTCCTCCTTTGAGGTGCCACCTCATTGTTCCCGCCCTGATGGGCTCAGTGGAGCCTGGACGGGCTCAAGGCAGTCAGTCAATTACGTCTTGACACAGTGGCTGGGCCTACATGACGCCAGGCAGGCGCCGGGCGGGAGCAATGGCAAAAGGCCCCGAGGAAGAGAAGGCTGCGGGTGGGGGCCGAAACTGCCCCAAATCAGAGCCCCCCATGAGGAGGCGCCCTTCAATCAGTGGCTGCTCATTCCGTGGCAAGTCTGTGAGCAACAATCACATGGGATGCAGAATCTCTGCCTTTGTTTTTTTGAGCAGGCTCAGGTTCCTTGAGGTTTTAGGAATGGGGATTTTCTAGGTAACTGAATGTTCTGGTTTGTTGATATTTAAGCAGAAAATTGTTCTTTTAATGTTGGGAAGCCTTTTAAATACTGACAACTGGTAAGGCTATGAGTGCCTTTCTGTTAACTGAGCCCATTTCTCTGCTTTACAAAGAGCATTCGGGAGGCAGAATGGACTTGACCCTGGGCGATCTTTCTACCGGTACAGATCGGGGGCTGCAGACGGCAACATAGGTTGACTTACCACATCCCATGGAAGTTTTTTTTAAACTTAATTTCTAATATAAACACGTGGTGGTTTTTACTTATTTGCTGCTTTTGCCTGTAAGTAGAATTCTAGCAAAATGAGGTGTGGGGGCAGACTCTTAAGGTGGCCCCCGTGACCCCAGCCTCCGGTGTTCACGCCCTTGTGTGATCCCTTCGGCTGAGTGTGGACGAGACGGTGACTTGCTTCTAACCAAGAGAATACGGCAAAGGTGACATGACTATGTGTATAGGATTACGGGATTATGTCACATGTGATGGGAGCACTGGTCCTGCTGGACTCTTCTTCTCTCTTAATGGTTTGGAGGAGTCCAATGGCCATGCTAGGGAACCCCACGTGGCAAGGACTGCAGGTGACCCTAGTTGCTGAGAGTGTTTCTGGCCAACGCCCAGCAAGAAACTGAAGCTCTCAGTCCAACAACTCCAAGGAATCGAATTCTGCCAATAACCCAAGCAAGCCTGGAAGAGATGCTTCTCCAGTCAAGCCTCCAGGAGACGGCAGCCCCTGCTAACCCCTGGATGGTGGTCACCGAGACCCTGAGCCAGCTACCCTGTTAGGCCGTGCCAGGACTCCTGGCCTACAGATCCTGTGAGACAATAAACGTGTGCTGTTTTAAGCCACTAAGTTCGTAGTATTTTGTTACACAGCAATAGATTCCTAATTAATGAGGGTTTCGGATAGCTGAATTCCTACTAACCAGGTTTTTCTGAATACTGCAGCTTTCCATTGCAATTTAAATTCAGTTCCTGGACAAAAACAGGGACAGCTGAACACGATTTTTTTAATTCGACTTCCGGCCAGACACGAAGACCAACACGCTGCCCATGAGGGAACAAAGGCTATGCTTGCTGATCACATCAGCCCCCCGCGCCTTTTCTCACCAAATCCTTTGCTGCAATTAGGATCCGTTTTGTAAGTGGCATGTGCTGATTTCAAGAAACCGGGCTTGTTTTCCTGCCGCCCCAGATCTGCTCACCTCGTCTGCCCCTCAGGCCATTTGCCCTGCTACTTGGTCCCCTGGTCATAAAGCCGCTGCCACCAGAGAAGGAGCCGACTGCCAAGGAGAGAGCCCCGCGCCTGTGCACAGCCCGGGCTGCACCCTCAGAGCTCTTGCTCCCTGGGGGAGGGGCCAGGTGACACCCTCTGAAGGCGGGTAGAGGTAGGCTTTGACCAAGGCAAGGCAGTCAATAGCTTGCCTTTGTATGAAACTAGAAATCAACTATAGGAAGAAAATCAGAAAAGCCACAAATACGTGGAGATTAAACAAAATGCTACTGAACAACGACTGGG